GAACCTTAAACTGGGATTGTTGGGTAGGAATTGGTTGGTTGGTTGGCTGGTTGGTTGGTTGGTTGGTTGGTTGGTTGGTTGGTTGGTTTTGAGACAGTCTGTTCATGTGTTCTAAACTTGGGTCCTTAAACTTGGGTTCTTAAACTTGGGTCCTTCTGCTTCAGCCTCTTGAGTAGGAAGACTGCAGACATGCATACCACACCTAACTATTTGGCTACAGGTTTGCCTTTTTATTTTTATGACTGTTGTCACATGGTCCTCGAAAGATGTCATCAGTTTAAATGATCTTCACACATACAAATCATCTGGATCTGACACACTGTCATCAGCCCTACAATCACAGCCCTGACTGATCAATCTTCTTCATGATTTTAATTTTCTTCTTGATATACATTTTCTTAATAGCAAGTTCATTTAACTTCCTTTCTTATATCTATTAGCTGTTTGCATTTGTTATTTTGTCTTAGGCAAACCCCTCTCGTACAGCTGTTCTATGTACTTTAAGATACACATGATTTTTTTTATATTAATACCCACACACAAACACACCCCAAGAGGGGCGGGGAAGACTTAATTCTATTTTGATTATAAGGTAACACACAGGCCAAGTAGTGGAATATTGTCCCAACATACAACATTTCCCTTGAATGTATAAGACTCTTAGAATTCAATTACTTTCATGAGAGTGAAATGAGCCGCAGATCATAGTCTTTAACATTTAACAGGTTTCAACAGGAATGGAGATGGAGCCTACCAAAGCCCAGTAACTCACAGCCAGGTTCATAAGAGCAGACATATATTTGTGTATAATGACCTAGAAATGTCCTTGGAATGCTTCCACTGAGTCTAATTAGAGTAGCAAAATGGAACCCTACAGAACTGCTGTAGTCAACAGAAGGAATGGTGCTCAGAAGTTCCTGGCTTTGATGCAGACACTATGCAAGACCGCTGGTACACTACTGGTTCTTTATGACTTGTGTGATAGTATCTCCTCCAAGAAACCCTCTGATGCTGCCCACACCAGCCCTTCCTCAAACAACCCTAACATCATCCCAGCCTGATCATGTGTCATGTCAGTGTGTATATCAGTTATACACAGTCTTTATTCTGTACACTTTCCAGGGAATGATGAACAAATAAAATTGTATATATTGAAAGTGTGTGTGATATTTTGGTATATGTATACATGGTAGAATTATTACAACAAACTAGCTGATATCTTCACCATATCTTGTGCTGAGAATGTTTGGGGTCTACTGCTTTATCAGCCCGAGTCTTGTGGTGTAGTTCTGGTAACTATAGTTATTATTGCTTTTCCAGAATTTACTCATCACACATAACTCAAACTTTATATGCTTTAGTGAAAACCTCCCCACTTCCCATATCTCCCCATTTTACTCTGTCTGCTTCTGGACCTTGACTATTTTCTAATAAATGAGATCATGCACCATTTATATTTCCATTTCTGGCTTACTTTACTCACACAGTTACCCAGTTTGTTTCATGTTGTCATGAATACCAGGATTTCCCATCCCTTCTCTTTGAAAGTATCATAAGGTTACTAGTTCATTTCATAAGATTATAAACATCTAGCCCTTATTCAGTTCATTTTGTCTTCTTTTTTTGTGGCTCATGCATTTGTAAGCTGTACATTTTAGACATGAATGATTTTATTTCTTTGAATTAACATTTGTATATTACACTTCTCTCATAGAATGCTTTTCACATCAATATTACTGCCATAGTCTACCTGGCATGGGTCTTCCTATCAAGTTCAGTTCCCAGATTGCACAGTGAATTATCTAAATAGGATAGGAACTTGGTCTCAGGCAACATATGCTCTTGCTGCAGCCCAAGATTGTTGGTCAGTTCCTAGTAAAAATCCAATGAGAAAAAAGTTACTGTTTTTTTTTTAAAATAAGCTTGAAAGTAAAGTGGGAAATCTGGCTTGGGGAAAAAACAGCTAATGATTTGGCAACTTTCTTTCATATAGAATTTGATAGTCATATAAAAATTTTATTTTCTTTATTTAGATCACAGAAATGCAAACATTTTTCCCAAATAAAAAATAAATGCTAGAAATAAAGTTTACAAATGTTTATGATACCAATAAAGCATTTACAAGGACACCGCCTATCATAAAGAATTCCATAAAAAGGCAAATTATGTGCAATAGCAGGGGCCTGCTCTAGTGAACTAGTATGACACATCAGGTCATCTGACAGAATGCCATGGCCATAGGCATGATAGTTCCATGTGGCATTGGCTTAAAAAAATGGCTTTAAGTAGTTACTTGATGTCATGACCAATGAGTGAATACATACAGTAGCAGGTAACAGGTCAGAACAAGGCCAAGTGTGGTAGACTAAGGAAAAGAATAAGTCTTACACTCAGGCAACATGTTGATTGGCCTGAGAGTAATGGTCAGAAATGAAATTCAACAAGATGATCCACAGGAGAGTGGATGACAACAGGTGGTCTGGCAAAGGACAGGACAGCAGCAGCTAGATTTACAGCAGCTGGACACTCCGCAGCTGGGGCAATAACAGCTGGACACAGCAGCTGAGGCAACAACAGCTAAACACACAGCAGTTGGGGTGGCAACAGCTAGACACACAGCAGCTAGGGTGGCAAGTTGGACACGCTGCAGCTGAGGCAGCAACAGCTGGACACACAGTAGCTTCAAGAGGCTTTTTGTTTGTTCCTCTGGATAGGATCAAGCCCACCAGAGCATTAACACATTTTACAGGATCTAAGGATATCCCAAAAGTACACACTCAGAGCACAACTTTCAAACACAACTTAAGTCCTTCCTTCTTGCAACTTTTAAATTGTTTGATTAAATTTGATTTACTTGTGTGTGTGAGTGTTTGTGTAGGGAGGGCACATACATGCCATTGCATGTGTGTGGAGGTCAGAGGACAACTGTGGGTGTCAGTTCCCTACTTCCTCCCATCCACCAAGCCCTTGGTGGTGTCTTGCTGGCCTCTTCTGTGCAACTTTTTACTTGCCTGCTATTTAACGGACTTGCCCCCAAGTCCCTTCTGGAGTTATCCACACATCCCACCACTAACAGAGAGCATCCCTGCCTGCTCATGACGCATTTAACCCAATGTTACTGCTGTGAAGGCGACTGGGAAGGGGGCAGCACAGTCCATTTTCTGCCGTATTTGCTCCAGGACTGCTGATCTCTTGGCTCATTTTTCTCCTTTTGTTGTGAGAATGTAAACAATCCTTGGCTGCAGATGCCACCACCACTACTCCCTCCTTCTCTTCCTCCTCTTCTTCCTCCTCCTCCCCTTCCTCCTTCTCCTCCCCTTCCTCCTCTTCTTCTTCCTCCCCTTCCTGCTTTTTCTCTTTCTCTTTTGAGCCTATGAGTCTATGACTTGCATACTTCCCTGGCATTTACTAGCTTTCAACTCTTTATTTATAAACATTTTAAAATCCTCCCATATGACCCTTCCAACATCAGCACAGATGTTTTCTCCAATATATCCCATCTGCTTAGATTGTGCCTTTTATTCCTAAGCCCTTATTTCAAGAACTAGACTGTGAGTTTCTTAGGAAGCTACTTGTCTTCAGGTGTCTTATCCTCTGAGTTCAGTGGCCCCGTGAGCCTGCCTAGAGTTTTATAAATTTAAAGGAAAATTATTGTTAATGAAAAAAGTAGGTCATGTTATTTTGAAATATAGTCTCTTTTTACCATATGGATAATAGATTATATGTGCAAAATCAGTTTTCTTTTCTGTTTCGAATTGATATATAAAATTGTATGTATTTATGGGGTACTGTGTGATGTTTTATACCTGTACGCATGACACACTGTTTAAATCTGAGTTCATATATTTACATCTTCAAATATATACTATTTCCCACTGGTGAAAACATCTTCTATCCTTTGTTCCAGGTATTTTTGAAAAATAACAGATTAATCATCTTTAGCAACTTTCTTATGCAATTGAATACTAGAACTATTTAGTTTTTAAAGCTCTATTTATTTATATTTATTTATTGTATGTATGTGGTGTTTTGCCTCCATGTTTGTCAATATACCATGTGTTTGCCTGGTGCCTATGGAGGCCACATGAGGGTGCTGGATCTCCTGCTGTGAGCTGGCATGTGGGTGCTGGGAATTGAACTGGGGTCCTCTAAAGAGCAACCAGACCTCCTAACCACTGAGCCATCTCTCCAGCCCTAGAACTTTTCTATCTCATTGTTTTATAGCGTGTTAACCAGACACTCTTCACCTCTGTCTCTCTATTCTCCCCAGCATCTTGGAGCCACTTTTCTCTCAGCTTCTATGAGGTGATTTCTTTTAGATTCCACCTTTGGGCAATATCATGTGTATTTTCTTTCTGGATCTGGCTGATTTTACTTAATAACATCTTCCAATTCTATTCAATTCTATATTGTTTCAAGTTGCAAAACTCCACCCATTTTATGGGTAAACAGCATTCCATTATGTATAAGGAGTTTTATTGACCATGCATCAGTTGATAGACACAGGCTAATTCTGCTTCCCAGCCATTGTAAATAATCCTACTATAAATGTGGTACTAAGCATGCCTCTAACATAGTAGCAAAACTAGTTTCCTTACTGGTCACAGAGACCCAAACATCTTTTCACCTTGGAAGAAATAGTACTAGAAAATAAACTCTCTTAAAATAAATGAAGAAAGGTATATACATATATATGTTTCTGATATAAGGCATTATTTATTGAAGAATAGTGAACACAGAGTGGTGAAGGTCAAGGGAAGGATGACAGTGGAGACCAGAGGGACACTATCAGCTACACCATGTAGCTGAGTCAGGCATGTATAGGTGAGATCCTTCGAAAATATGAGTGGTACTTAATGTAGCCCTTTCTTCTGCCAGTTTCTTACTGATGTCAGGACAACAAAAGTAGAAGCCATTTAATAGGTGGAAAAGTTAACATAGGTGAGAAGGTTAGATCACTGTGATTATAGCTGCCTCGGGGTTGGTAGTTAGAAGGAAATTCAGCAAGAGGGGCCACAAGTTGTACGGCAGCAAGTGGTCTGACAGCAGACTGGACGGCAACAGCTAGACACTCCACAGCTGGGACGGCAGGTGGTCTGACAGCACACTGGGCGACAACAGCTGGACACTCCACAGCTAGGGCGGCAGGTGGTCTGGCAGCACACTGGGCGGCAGCAGCTGGTCTGACAGCAGGTAGTCTGGCAACAGATTGGGCGGCAGCAGCTAGACACTCCACAGCTGGGACGGCAGGTGGTCTGACAGCACACTGGGCGACAACAGCTGGACACTCCACAGCTAGGGCGGCAGGTAGTCTGGCAGCACACTGGGCGGCAGCAGGTTGTCTGGCAGCTGGGCCTGCAGCAGCTGGACACACAGCAGCTGGGGCGGCAGCAGGTGGTTCTGCAGCAGGTTGTCTGGCAGCAGCTGGGCTGGCAGCTGCTCTCCTGGCAGGGACTTTGATCACAGCCCTGCTCAGAGCAGACAGAGCCACAACAGGAGTTGACCATGATGTCAGATGTGGAGGTTCTGAGTAGATTTCCAAGACAGTGAGTTTCTCAAATATGTGAGTCTCCTTATTCCCTGTCCTCTTTTATACCCTGATGCTGTTACCAGGGTAAAGGTCATTTCCTTGTTTTTGTTTCTCTTAATAGATAAACAGTTACTAAATTAGCTAATTATGGAAGACTCTATGTAAATGTTAAATGGAATGCATTTTTTTCCTCAGGGTTAGGGTTTATCAAATCCAGTCTTTTCTCTTGAGTCACCTCTTTTGTTTCCTTATGCGTATCATCAAATTTCATCTATTCCTATTCTGACTCATCTGACTGATAGTCATAGATGACAAAGCAAACTAAATCTAGCATCCCATGTGTCACCATGATACTAACCTGCAGTGGATCTGTGCCTCTTGTATCTAAAGACACTTTGAAAAATAAACTGTTAAAGTACTAGAAGAAAGTTTGAATTAAGAATATGTGGGGGTAATAAATTTGTGACATGGGCATGAGGACCATCCCATGTTGATATTTCTCAAGAAGGGAATTTGGAATGACAACAAGTATAGGAAGGAACACAGGAATGCCTGCGACTTTTCTCAATTTCTAGAGAATAGTTAGGGTAAATGATGTTCACATATCTCAGTTTTTCTGAAGACAGATAACATTGTTGTGTTTTTCAGACAACTTAAACATGCTGGGCTGTAAAGCAGATTTCTCTGCTGAACTGTAAACTTATAACTCTGTATTATTGTATTGTATTGTTTGGTATTATTGTATTGTATTATATCATAAGTTTGTATTATTACAAAGTACCTGCAATAGTAAAAATGAACCTTTTTGCACACTTTGTTCTCAAGTCCTTCCCTGTCTCAGGTCACCTCTGTTCAGCTCTTAAGGTATTTTCTGGTGATGCTGTCTAACTTCATTTTGTTGGGATAGAAGAAAAACTGCATATTATTTCTACTGTTGAGATCTTCATTGTAGTTTGATATCATTTATAAATAGTCTAAGTATATATGAAAGCTATGGAAATGCAATTTGTTAGACATAAGTTGGGACAGATGGTAACTAGACATAGTATCTAAGATGATAGCAATTCTATTCAAAGTTTTATATCTCTATTCTTCATCTTGAAATAATCATTTATAAAGAAAATTTTCTGAGAGTCAGAGTCGAGGTTGTCATTTTATCATTCTCCTGTGGATTTATCACGGTTAATTTGAAAATAGGCTAAGTGCTTATAAAAACAGGAGAGTTGACCTTTTGGAGATGTGAAAACTGTATTGCAAGGAATTCATAATCAAAGTTAAAGCTAGTACATGTGAGTAACCTTAGCATGTTGACTTGATCTGATTGGACCAAATGCCATGATCATTTATTTCTTTGGCGACAACCATCCTTCTCTGTACAAGGGAACAAAAACAATATAACAAAATATCTCTTCTGCCTTTTGGATAGTAATTCCTTTCATTAAAATATAAATATTTATCTGTCATCTAATTATCTCCTAGTTTGTCTTGGCTTCTACACATTTGTCTGTAATGACATGAAAAAAATTAAGAGTTAATATTTCAATCTTCCTACTATAACATAATAATATAATATAACTGGTATATAATGTTATATACCAGTTATTTTCTTTGTTCATGTGACAGTGACCCAAACTTTTCTCCAAATAAATTGATGGTCAGATATGCTTAATGACCACAAATATTTATGGTATTAAGAGATTAGGTATTTTTTGGGACATAGTCACTCTATCACGTATGATTCCTTAAAAAGTCCAAGGCATACCTGAGATGGTAATATTATGAACTTGGTCAATAAAGTCACATGAACATTTGGTCATGTCAGAATGCCACAGTAATTGACATGGAATTCACTGATTATGTGTTTTATAGTTTAAATAGTTGCTTGTAAAATTAATTCTTAGATCAAGTAGAGTGGCATAATCCCATGTTAGCACTTAGGAAGCAGAGCCAGGAAAATCAGGAGTTCAAGGCCAGGCTTGGCTAAATAAGTCTAGCCTAGGAAACATGAGACCCTGTCTCAAAGAACTAAAACAGTATAAAGTAAAAGAACTTCTTGATGGCATCACCAATTGAGTGATAGATATAGTGCTGGCTCAGTACAAGCACAGAGGTAATGACGAAATCATGAAAAGGGTGGAACACACAATGTAGTAGTGCCCTAGGACTGATGGACAGCAACAATGAGAAACTGGGTAACAGCAAGCAGTCTAACAACAAGTGTTCTGCCAATATCAAGAGACACAGAATTCTCAGCGGAGGCTTTGGCCACACATAGTCCTGGTCAAAGTAGGTGAAACTATAGGAGGTGGCCATAGTGTCCTGGGTGGAGGCTCTGTATGGCTCTTCAGGGACACAAGATTGTCCAGTGTGGAGCTCAGCATCCTGCAGCTGAGTTAGCATCATTGTGTTTGTAATTGTTTTCTGACGATGACCTTCCCAGACATTCTGGTCTTGACATGCTGTCTATGCAATTATATTTGCCTTTTAAAGGGATGCTTCCTTGATTTTCATTGAATAAGCTCTTCATCTCAAGAAGCAGGAGGTCCTTCTAAGTTGCAGCAGCATGTCATTCAGCACCTCTTGTACTTCTTTTTTTTTTTTTTTTTTTTT